CCTTTCTGGGTAACAGTCTTTCCTACCGTGGCATCTTCCCTGTGTTGAAGTTTCCAGCATTGAGCTTTCTTGGGCCCGGGTTTGTTACAGTGCCAGCAAAGTCCCTCAAACTTCACTGAAAGCTGCCCTTTTCTGGCCTTGAATCCCGATGACTGTACCAACCTTGGTACCTCTGTGCTGGACTTAACATAGAATTCGAATTCAAGAGCTCTGGCCATTGCATCCTGCATAGTAGAGGGGTGTGCTTGCTTTACTTGTATTTTCAGTTGTGGACTGTCCAAGGCATCTACGAACTGATCCCTCAGCAACAACTTGAGGACATCGGATGCTGCAGTTGGGTAGGCCATGTGTGCCATATTTTCCAAGTCCTGTGCCAGCTCTTGCAGGCTCTCCCCTTTAACATGGACTCTCGTCCTAGACCTGGCCCTGTAGACTTTGGACTGATTTTGAGTTCTATACCTGAGCTCTAGAGCAGCTACCAGTGCTCTATACTTGTGCCTGTCGTCTGCTCACAACTGTCCAAGTATTTCCAGTGGTTGTCTCTTCAGGCTTGTTCCCAGATATACTGCTTTCTGCTTTTCTGTCCAGCCATTCATTTCTGCCAGTAGTTCAAATTGTGCTCTATATGCTTCCCATGGTGCCTTCCCGTCGAAATCCTGTGGCTTCCTACATACTAGATCACCCCTATTGCTGACACTCGTGTCTGGAATGTGATTTCTGACAGGACTGAAGATGTCTGCATTAGGGTTTAGCTGCGGGGTCTGGAAGGGGTTTGTCATTGTCTTAGGCTGATTAAGTCGATGGCAAATATATCCTCCTTGTGTAAAAGACAGTAAATCATTTTTTAATGTACTTAATTCGCTTTGAAATTGACTAATGTTTTCCATTTGTGTACTCTGGCTTTCTCTCAATTGTTGGAGACTTTCTTGTTTATTTTCTTTATCCTACAACCACTGCTGTAGTCTCTCTTCTTGTTCATTTTCTTTCTCCTCCAACCACTGCTCTAGTCTCTCCTCTTGTTTATTTTCTTTCTTCTCCAACTATTGCTGTAATCTCTCTTCTTGTTTCTTTTCTCGTTCTTCTTGTTTCTTGTTTTTTTCTGGGAAGACGGTATAAACAATATGATTATCAAGTACCTTTCAGACCCCTTTTAGAATACCTTGTTGAGATATATAATTTATCTACACAATCAGGATATTAACTATTAATATGGAAGTCAGCTATCATTAAAGTTATCCTAAAAAATAATGGTCTAAACAACCTTGGAAATTACAGGCCTATTAGCTTACTCAAAACTCTCGGAAAGTTAATGGAAAATTCATAACAAATACTAATTGAATTAACTCATACCTTGAAACCAATGAGATTCCGAGCAACAACCCAAATACGGGTAGGAAAAACAGACAGACTTCAGATCACCTCGTTAGACTTACCGAATCTGTTTATCAAGGCGTGAATAGAAAGCACACATAAAGCGTTTGATTCTGTGTGGCACAACGGATTAATATTTAAATTACACAACCGCTCCCCTAAAGTCCAAACTAACAATTCCACATTGCACCCTTTTACTTTAACAGCTGGTGTCCCACAAGGATCGATACTTAACCAGGCGCTATAGAACATCAACGATATATCCTTGCCCTTGTTAACATATACATTAACATTTCAGTATGCAGATGACAGTATGCGATTTGGAGCTCTTCAAGTAATTCACACATAGTCATATCCAGAGTTCAAACTTCGCTTGAAACCATACAGCATTGCTGTAATAAACGATGTGTAGCTCTCAACCCCTCCAAGACACAAGCCGTTGCTTTCCAGAAGAAAATTAATAAAAGCAAGAAAACATTAAGAAACTTTAGCCTAACACTAAATGGCACAGTAATCTCGTTCGCTAAATCTGTTAAATTCCAAGGTTTAACTTTCTCCTCGAACGTATTGTTACGACAGCGTAAGTCACGTGACGCTAATGAGATTCTAGAAGGATCATGACTTTTCCTGGCAACTCTAGTCTGTTCCAGGCGCCCTCTTTTTTAGTATATAAGCCCGGCAAATAAAGCGGAAATATGATTGCAGATAGATAGATATAGAGACAGATAATTGAGTCAAGCGAGCGGTAGTGACGGTAATATAAAGTGTGTGTTTTGTTATCGAGATTGCAAATGTTTTGACTGTGGAACTTCTGTGTATTATAAAGTTGTATCGAAAAACAATAAACTAGTTTTAATTAAGAAAGAATTTGTATCGCTGAAGTTTCTCGAAAATAATTTATACGGGAAATTAACAAACGAGGAGATACGCAACAATATTTATGTATAACTTATTTTCAGAACAAGGAAAGCCGAAATTATGCTGGATTTTTTTTTCTTTTATTTTGACGTCGAAGGACAGTTGCAACCTAAATTATATTTCTTGGGTATTATTATTTCTAGTACCTTAAGAATATTATAACCGGTGTCAAATTCCTCAAATGTGTTATAGTAGTAGAAGGAATAGAATTAAATCATGTTATTTACTTTTGGAGCTTTGTTTTAAAACAAAATAATTGCATTATAATAGTAACGAAAATGAATTAAACACATATTAATAAGCAAGTAACTAGTTACTACTGCTCCGTTGCGTCCCTATTGCTGATCGATGGTTTAAAGTAGAAATGGCGCCTTGCCATCCTGGACTGCATGCTACGACGAGACTCCATTATTGGAGGGATGAGAATCTGTTGTACTTTGCTGACACTAAATAATATTCATTTAATGTAATCTCTCTACTTGTCTACAAGTTGTAAAATATTTTGTTTTAGCTCTTATAACTACTTTATTATTAGACATAGATTTAATTACACTGTTACCAATTTCTAAATTATGGGCATAGATACTTGTAGATTAAATTTTATGTCCCAATTGCAGTTTTATCAATTATTGATTTATAACCAAAGTGTTGTAATTTCCGTTACAAAAACGATTTCCCTAAAAGTATCGTATAGTAGTACAATGTCACCATGGTTTGGTTATAGCACTAGTATTTAGTTTTAATTATATTAGAACCTCTGTGAGTTGAATTGTAAGTACAATATTATAACTAATGTTAAAGTTAGCTTTGTTTATTTTTAGTATGTGCAAGGGCATCTGTCTGACACACGAACCAGTCTATTGGCAAGACCAGTTCCAATGTTAGCCACCTGGATACTAGTTGTGTGCAACCTCAGAGCAGATGAATCACTGAATAAAGGAGCAATGGCCAATACAATGTTCGTCTTCAAGCTGTACCAGATCATGCCACAAATACTGGGTAGGTGGACAGATTACTACCCTCTGTTACTTTTTCTCCAAAACAAATGAGTCTGTCATGGCTAGGAGGTTAAGGCGCTCGACTCGAAATCTGGGATCGCGGGTTTCCTAGGTCCACACAAGGACCTAAGTCCCGATGAAGCAGTACAGCGAATCTTCGTCCCACCAAAGATTCTCGCCTTTTTAGTTGTGGCAGCATCATATAGTGTCACTTTTAATCCCACTATTCGTTGGCATGGGAATAGCCCAAGAGTTGGCGGTAGGTAGTGATAACTAGCTGCCCTCGTTCTAGTGTTTCATTGCTAAATTAGGGATGGCCAGCGCAGATAGCCCTCGTGTAGTTTTGCGCGAAATTCAAAACAAACCAAAAAAGCAAACCTAAACAAGTGTGTTAAATAACTCTCAATTGACATATTGAGAGTTAAGAAATTTCAAACATAAGCTCAAATTACAATATGGTAATCGGAATGAAATTCATATATCAAGAATGTTTCTGTTTTATTTAAACGCAAAGTTGCACACTAGCCTATCTGCACTTGGTATCACAAGGATCGAACGCTGCATTCTGACGTTATAAGATCTCAAGCTTACCGCTGGTCCAACAAAACTTGTACATAACACTTTCGTATACTCTATAACTTCAACATTACAAAATTTTATTCTCAAATTTCACTATAGCTTCGTACATTGATTCCTCATTCACGAACTGCTAACTTTTCTAATGTCAGACAATATATAAAACTAATCTAACCAGTCGGCTGATGGTACATGCATTAAACTGAAGAAAAATTATAAAACCAATTAACATTTTTACATCACTATCTTCAAATATCTTGTTTTTATTTTCGTGTTTGGCATACCTAGCGAGCTAATTATATAAATTATAATAGTTATTGGGCCTCAATTAAAAATTAAAACTTTTTATCATATTAATAAAATTTCTGAATTTAAAAAGAGAACCAACACGTGTATATTTAGATTTCGTCTGATGTTCTACTAACTGCCTTTCATACAATATCACATTTGGAAAATATACTTTAACATTAAAGATTTAGGTCACGTATATCATCATAAAATTAATTTGCTCTTGTTGATATACTCCTTGTATTCATATCCACAACGTCAATTTATGGGCTTCTCAATGGTCAAAGAATTCACGATTATTGAAAGTTCAGTCAGTAAGGGATCACTTCTTTCCGTTTCAACATTGACAAGTAACAGTACACTTGTCCTTTCCCTCCTTTGCTTCCTCACAACACTGAGACGCGTCATCCTTGCAGTTACAGACGCATTTCATCTTTCCATTTTCACAAAAACAGGTAACGGTACAAACGCAGCTGTTCTTCTTTTTTGCTTCTGCGCAATCCTGGCATGACTCGTTCTTGCAATCTGGGCTACAACGTGAATCTTCGCATTCACAAACAACAGTTACGGTACATGCACATTTGCCTTTCCCCTCCTTAGCTTCTGCACAACACTGAGATATGTCATCCTTGCAGTTACAGACGCATGTCATCTTTCCATTTTCACAGCGACAGGTAACTGTACATGTACATTTGCCTTTCCCCTCCTTAGCTTCTGCACAACACTTAGGTGTGTCATCCTTGCAGTTACAGACGCATGTCATCTTTCCATTTTCACAGCGACAGGTAACGGTACAAACACAGCTGTTCTTCTTTTTGGCTTCTGCGCAATCCTGGCATGACTCCTTCTTGCAATCTGGGTTACAACGTGAATCTGTGCATTCACAAACAACAGTTACGGTACATGCACATTTGCCTTTCCCCTCCTTAACTTCTTCACAACACTGAGACGTGTCATCCTTGCAGTTACAGACGCATGTCATCTTTCCATTCTCACAGCGACAGGTAACGGTACATGTACAACAGCTGTTGTCTTTCGTTGTTTCACCTATTTGAAAATAAAATAAAAAACCGACAATTTCACTTTTCATACAATAAAAAACACAACTACCTACTTAACATAAAGCATGCTTTTTCAAAATGACGTATATCTTTGTTACTCTTTTTATCGTCCTATAATTTGTGTTTTCAGCTGTTACCGTTCTGTAACAGGTTAACGTAAAACCTGCTTCTTGTTGCTCAATTTTTTAAAGTAGGCGTTTTAAAAATTAAGTTCCTAATCTAAAAGGTATGACTTAAATACACAGTAAAAAAAAAAGTGTTAATACGACACAACTTATATTCTGTAGAATTAACACAAGTCTGATGGATGAATGGTTACAGCAACTCTGTTGGCTGTTGTAAAATATTTGTGGTCAGTTTTATAAAATTACATACACGGAACAAAAATGTGATACAACAATGTATTTAAATAAACTAACTTTTCTTTTGTAAACCTAAGTCATTTACTTCCTTAGAAAAACGCACAAAACTTCTGTATAGATATCTCTACAACAATCAATCTTGTTACAGTTCACACAAGTGTGTTTAGGGAACACAGTATTGTTGTGAAGTAACACAATGTTTGTAATACTGTTAGACTTCAACACTAAGGCTTAACAATGTACTCTATGAGTAGTTACTTTCTTATAGACAAGGAAATAACTTACCAGCTGTTTCCATCTTCTGAGTAATTGTAAAGAACCAGCAAGTCAGTATCTTTTAAATTGTATCGTGTATCACACTAGGAAGAATTAGCTTCCTCTTCCTCTACTAACCTCTATTTATTGAGACAATTCTTGCAACATTATGTGTCGTGTGAAACTTTCAAGATAATTCAGCGGTTCGTGTGCAGCTTCTTGAACGATCAGCTAGAGGATAAACAGCCATCACGTGCATTATCTAATCGTTTTTGTAGAGATATGTTCAGTTAATGACCACAGTAACCTACTATCATATCGTAGGGTATTTCATTATCTTTGTAGCCCTAAGTATTGATCAAGATTTTGTTAAATATGATCACATTAAATATAGTTAGTTCCACTTTTTGCATGAGAAAGGGAGAGGGAACTAATACATTGTAGACACGTGGTCTCTGACTCGTGTTTGCCTCTTCGTGACTTAACTCAAAGACTTATATCACTAAAAACGAACTTCGTCATCCCTGGTGAGGCCCGGCATGGCCAGGTGGTTAGGGAGCTCGACTTGCAATCTTCGGGTCGCGGTTTCGAATCCCCGATCCACCAAACATGCTTGCCCTTTCAGCCGTGGGGGCGTTATAATGTGACGGTCAATCCCACTTATCGTTGGTAAAGCAGTAGCCCATGAGTTGGCGGTGGGTGGTGATGACTAGCTGCCTTCCCTCTAGTCTTACGCTGCTAAATTAGGGACGGCTAGCGCAGATATCCCTCGTGTAGCTGTTCTCTTAGTCTAAATCACGTTCTTAGATCAATAAAACGTTAATTAACAAATCAGTTAAGCAAATCTTGATCTCTAGTACAAGCTGACTTCTGTTCACTACAGTCGTTACTTTTTTTTTTTTTTTTTGTCAACAAAAATTAAATTGGACTTTGCTTTCGTATTACGCTTGGTCTTTTTCTTCAAAATCAGTAAAAATTAGGCCTCACATAGAATACCATATACAGTCATGACGTAATGGAAACATGATTACTAGAACGGTTCCGGGAAAGAGTTACCTTATCATTCCTTGATACATTTTCTGTTAATTCTAAGTAATATCTCAAAGGTTAATCATTTCACGCAGGTTAAGACTTTTATAAAAAATAGTGGGTGGACGGCGTCCACCATGAGTCTAATACTGGTTGCTAATGAGAATAATACAATGTTCCAATATGATTTACATTGATTGTAAATTTTACGAAACACTGTTATATTTGGTTCTCCTCATTGAAAAGAGGGCAAATAGCGCACCACGTCGCTTTGCGTTGAAAACAACTTTAAAACTAAAAAAAAAAAAAAACAGGCTAGGCTAAGTTTTATTTTTCTAACAAGGTGAACAGATTATGGAATGAATTTTCATCAGTGGACACCACCAGTTTATAAAAGTTTAAAAGGGTAATCCATGATTTCCTGAAATATAAAAGGTAGATTAAAATTTTTACTTTTCTTAAGAGTATGTGTACAAGAACAGCTTTGAAAGATCAAACAGACTGTTATCAATGCTGTTATGCCTCACACCCGTTTCTATGTACTTAAGTGGTACAGAAAGATTTTAACTTTGGAGGTGTCAACAGTGGGCGGGTGTGACAAGTTAGCAGGATGTTTTAATACTACATTATTACTTGACTTATTTAAACATAAACGGCTTACCTTCTAATTCAGCCCTGCCAACCCACATCTCAGTTCTGAACATAATTTCAATTTAGAAATATAACGATGGAAAAATATATGCTGGTCTTTTCAAAAGTTATTGGAGAAGCAGGCATCGCCTGTTCCTGGTCCACTGACTTACCATTATCATTAGAAACATATAGTAACGTCATACTTCTTTAAATAAAAATATAAAAAACATGGCGATTGTTCACCCTATTATTTTTTAATCATTATCATTAACTAAGATCCTTTTGTGGACAATGCCATACAGCCATCTGTGTATACTTAGTGCTAAACGTTTAAAGTGACATTAACACTACTTGCTCCATTTTTTAAAAAATATAGCTTAATTTCTGGATTATTCCTCTTCAAAGTGTTTATATGTAATTCGAGGGTATTTCGGAAAATAAAAGCAATATTTACATCCGTGTTTTTTACGTACGACAAATCGGTAAATGCTACGCTGCAAACAATATTACTGTATGTACTTCGATTATTTGTTTTTGCTTTTGAATTTCGCGCAAAGCTACACGAGGGCTATCTGCGCTAGACGTCCCTAATTTAACAGTGTAAGACTAGAAGGAAGACAGCTAGTCATCACCACCCACCGCCAACTCTTGGGCTACTCTTTTACCAACGAATAGTGGGATTGACCGTCACATTATAACGACCCCACGGCTGAAAGGGCGAGCATGTTTGTTGGGACGAGGATTCGAACCCGCGACCCTCAGATTGCGAGTCAAGCGTCCTAACCACTATGTAGGTCGAGAAATAAAGATACCCCTCGTTCATGAATTGAGTACTCATGGCGCTAGTGAGCAAGTAAACAACATGGGCGTGCACTTGTCAGTGTGCAAAAGAATAACGGCAATCTGTAATTACTTTTTTGTGTCCTGAAGATGTTACACCGGCTGAAATCCACCAGAGAATTTTGGTACAATATAGAGAGAATTGTACAGTCTAAAGAAAATTTCACGCAAGGCCACTAGAGAGCTAATTATGCTAATCGCACATAATTTAGAAGTGACAACTAGAGAGAAGACAGCTAGTTTATACCGCCCACCACCAATTCTTGGGCATCTCTTTACCAAGGAACACTAGCATTGACCGTCACATTATAACGTCCCCATAGCTGAAAGAGCGAGTATGTTCAGTGACGAAATTCTAAACTCGCGACACTCAGATTACGAGTCAAATGCCATAACTACTAGGCCATGCTATGCCGAGTGGGTGGATTAGTTTAACAACGACCAAACATTTGTTGTGAATGAAGATCGACCAGGACACTCCAACAGTTCCACCACTGATGAAAACAAGCTATCCATGATAATTGAAGAGTGAGTATTGCTAAACTAATTAATGAAGTTAGTGTAGGCAGTGTCTATTTCATTACTTATGAACACCTGAAAGTATGTACTCGTTGAGTTCCAAAGCAATAGGCAGATATCCAACATCAGCAACGTCACCAGGATGAAGATGAATTTACTTCCTGTATTTTCACCGTCGGTGAAAGAAGGATATGCCATTTCGATACAAAAAACACAGTCACCACTATCCCCCAAAAAATACAAAAGATAGTCATCCTCTGGGAAAGCCATGTTGATTTTGTTTTGGGTCTCCCAAGAGCCTACCCTTTCCAACTTCATGGAACGTGGAGTCACAATCACTTGTTGTATTTAAGAATTACCTTTACATTCTGAAACACCCTCGTACAATTTCGTTTATTATAGCTATTGTATGTATATGTGTTTTTGTTTCCAGAAAGTTGAACCTTTTTTTTTTATTGTGGTGTTTTATTATTTTCACAAATTATATTTATCTTCATTTGCAAAATCAGAGCAGTTTCACACAAAAAGCTATTTAGTGTCCTTTTATTACTTCTAGTGAAGAGATTCTTACTTTCACTGTTAGTTTTGCGTAATTGTTATTCTACATTTCGAAATTTACTTAAGGGTCAGTTGGCGACACGAAAACAACTTCCTGCTATTGAATAGAAATAAATAGTTACAGAATGATTTTAATATATAAATGTCTCTTCTCGTGTTTCATAAATTCGCTGAAACTGATCCCTTTCAAGTTTTATTTGTTTGTTTGAAGTTAAGCACAAAGCTACACAATGGGCTATCTGTGCTCTGTCCACCATAAAACCCGGTTTCTAGCATTGTAACTCCACAGACATACCGCTGTGTCACTAGGGGTTTCAAGTTTTGATTCAATAGTATCATTTGTCCAAACTGAATTGTATTATATTATATGTTCCAGTCCTTTAAAAATAACAACTTTTGTGATTTTCTACACAAGTTAAGCTAGACTGCATACTAATCTAGAAATTTTCTATTCCTCTAAGATCAAATCGACTTACCCAAACCAATAAAGTAAACTTCGAAATAAAAAAAAAGAGTCAGAATTCAATTTCATCTCGTTTAATTAAACAATAACAAAACAACTCTTAATAATCTGCTTTATCTTTAAAATATTTCTTTACTGAATAGTGACTCAGCAAAATATATAAACACCCCACATTACACAATCATTGTCTTTGTCTCTAACTATGACTAGGCAAGTTTCTATTATCTGTAAACTTTGGTACTTGACCCTATCAATTCAACAATGACTTTACAAATCACGAATACGTTGTTCCAAATATAAATTGGTGATTTTATAATTTAAAAGTAGTTACAAGTTCGTTGTACATCCTTTGCCTTTAACTAAAATGCAAAATAAAACAAAATTTAATTAAAAACTCCAAGAAGCCGAAATTAATGGGCCAGATACGACATAATGATCAATGTGTCCATAATAAATCCGAGAATTCATGGTTCATGTCCTTTTGATGCAAAAAAAGATACATGGACTGTAAAGTTCATGGGCAGATCTAGCCATGTGGTCAGCCAGTAGTAGTCCAATAGATGGCAGTTGGTGTAGTTAACTAGCCTTCCTTCCTGATCTTCGGTTCAAAATTGCTGAGTGTTGTTATCCCTTTTGTAGCTTTGCGCAAACAATTCTAAACCAAAACATTGTAGAATTTGTTTAAACAGTTTTCAAAATGCACCAGTTTTCTCTGTTTAAAAGTGCTCTTAACAACTTTTATATTCATTTGATATTTCCAAGGCTATAATAAGGTTCTGTATCGAAAAGAAAGAAGAAAAACTTTCAAAACTGTAGTTTTGATTAACATAAATTATCAACACAAAATTCTGGTTTGGTTTGAATTTCCCGCAAAGCTAAACGAGGACTAACTGCGCCAGCCATGCCTAATTTGGCAGTGATAGACAAGAGGATGGCAGCTAGACAACACCACCAATTCTTTTACCAACGAATAGTGGGATTGATCGTAAAATTATAATGCCTACGTGACTGAAAGTGCGAACATGCTCGGAGACGGGCATTCGAAGGTTGGTGTGCTTGTTGTTAAGCGCAGATCAACACAATGTTCTGTCTGTGATCTGCCCACTACAGGTATCGAAACCCGAATTTTAACGTCGTTACAGACTTCCCGCCGAGCCACTGGAGAACAAACAAATTCCTACCAGAATGTGGTTTCGATCCACAGACCTGGGGGTTATGGGGCCATCACGCTCCCACGTTTTCACATATTTGGTAATACGTGAATATTTTAATATAATGTATTGTTGCGTCAGCGAGGTCACGTGACTAATATCAC